TAAAGAAGTAAAGGTCTCTTCGGGGATACGAACCGGAAAAATTGTTCCCTGTTGAAATAAATACAAATAAATTACTCCGTTGATCCACTCCAGAAACATATTTTTTAACCTTTGTTTTTTTTTTTTTTTTAATAAATGGATTTTTTTTCTTCATGTGTGGCAAAAATATACAACATAAAAAAATACAGTAGAGTTTTACTTTTTTGGCTGGTAAGTGCTGATATAGGCAGATGGTGGAGGAAAGGGGAGGTGGGGGGGGGGGGGGAGAAAAATAATACTCCTTTAAAGGAGAGTCGTATTCCAAAATAAAGTCGGACAACTGTTTAGTTATTTCTGATGTTTTTAATCATGTTTGTATCTTGGTAAGTGGTTCGACTGCTGACTTCGTGGATGATGTTTTTAATCATGTTTGTATCCTGGTAAGTGGTTCGATTGCTGGCTTCGTGGCTGATGTTTTTAATCATATTTGTATTATGGTAAGTGATTCGATTGCTGGCTTCGTGGCCGGTGTTTTTACTCATTAGTTAGTTAGTTAGTTAGTTGGGTTATCATCATTGCACTCCGGACATGTCCATAGGTGCTCAGATCCTCCCCTCAGTATGAACCCCAACGTCCGATGGCTAATAGTACCAGTTCTATGTTGATTAACAAGTCTTCTGACGTGTCCGGTGTGCGTCTCGTTTTTTGCTGTGCCGATCTTAATTCCCAAGTCTGCCATTCTGGCGAGTGATGTGGATTCCCTGCCACCAAAGTCCTCTATCCTTCCCATTTCTCTGAGGGCATTGATAATATCAGCATGATCCATAGGCCGACCGTCGGTAGTGATAGCGGATCCAGCTAACCTGTCAGCTCTTTCATTTCCATCGACGCCTGCGTGTCCCGGAACAAAAATAAAGGTGACTCCTCGCACAGTGGACTTCTGAATTGATTCAAGCCATTGTCTTCGCACTGAACCTGCCTGAACCCTCCGGATCATACTCATTGAATCACTGAGTATACATATGCGGGTGTATTTTTGTGTTTCAAGCCAGGCAAACGCTTGCGTCACTGCCATCACCTCCATCGTCATGCTGCTGGTTGTCATGGAGAAGACACCGTTGGCTTCTTTTGACTGTTCTGCCCGCCGAGCGTGCTGTAAATGCCCATGCGCTTCTTCTTTGGCGTATAACGGATCCGTCTGTATAGATTAGTGCATCTGCTTCGTCTGAATTTTCACCGATGAGAGCGTTGACCTCTGCATTAACAGCAACAGGATTCTCTTCTCTACATCGCCTGTTGAGTGTGACAATACAGGAAAATGTACAAATAAATGCCTGAGGCACAGGTATCCATTCTGCACCAGGTATGATGTCGGTTAGGCTGCATATTTGCCTAATAACATCTTCTGCCCGACCTAGCCACGATTTTCCCCTCTTCAGTCTGTCGCCCTTTTCACTAAAAAGCGCTTGATGCAGTGGGTGTTTCTTATCAGCACATATTTTGAGGTATGCCCGAGCCCTCCACATCCTGATCCTTTGGTTCATTGTTGGGAAGTCTAGTAGATACCTCATTGCTCCACAGGATGTGTCTTTTGTACATCCCAAAATAATACGCATGGCTTCATTTTGCACCTTTTCGAGTCGTTCAATCTGGGTAGCACTGACAGTGAGGATGGCCAGAGCGTATTCAATGGGGGAAAGGACCAGACCGTAGAACAGAAGTACTAGTAGTCTTTGCTCGATATTGGAAGCAGCCATAATCCTCATTGCAGATAGACCTTTGCGTGCTTTTGTTATTACATGGTCAACGTGTTCCCTAAATGACAAGCTGCGATCGAACCTCACCCCGAGAAACGTCATAACGTTGGATCTGATCAATATATTATCACGCATTTTCACTTCTGGTAAGTCCGACTTGACAATGTGATTGTTCAAAGAGAACCATGACACTGATGCCTTCGAAGGATTGACATAGGCATTGGAACCATCACACCAGGCGGCAATTCGATCGAGTTCTTTGTGCATTGTGCTGGCGATCTCCTGTCTATCACGCCCTCGTCGATAAATCAAAATGTCATCAGCAAATGACAAAGTCCTTCCCTTTCCATTCAACTGCTGCTCAGTGATCATCACCGTATAAACGTTGAATAAGACTGGTGATAGCGGTGATCCCTGTGGCAAGCCTGGACATATCGTTTGCGGTTTTTACTCATGTTTGTATCTTGGTAAGTGGTTCGGTTGCTAGCTTCGTTTTTGGTGTTTTTAATCATGTTCGTATCCTGGTAAGTGGTTCGATTGCTGGCTTCGTTTTTGGTGTTTTTAATCATGTTCGTATCTTGGTAAATGTTTCGATTGTTGGTGTTTTCACAAGTTACAAATAAAGATACATTTGTTGGATAATTTTCTAAAAAAATGGGAAATCACACTGTTATTTAAAATGCCCCCTGCTCTGCTGGTTGCTGTTGTGTTTTAGTGATGCTTCTTAATAAAATCCTGCACTTCGCTCCGCTGGCTCCACTTGGGTTTCTTTAACATTGTCACTAACACTTTCGTTGGAGCCATAATGAGGGTGAATTTAATCAGTAGCGAAGCAAGATCAGGTGGTGCCCTTCGCGGAAAATTTCCATTCATCCCAGTGGCATTGCTAGGTCGGGTGGAACCGAGGTTAAAAAATGTCTTTTCACTCCCAATAGCCTTTAAAGGTCGGATGGTACCCGACGTGGCACATTTATGCCCCCCCCCCCCTTTTTCCTTCACGTTCAGTGGCATTGCTAGGTCAGGTGGTACATGGTGCGGAAAATTTTCTCTCACCCCCAGTGACATTGCAAGGTAAGGCACCTTCTACACACACACACATACACACAATTTGTTATGTTAAAAACACTAAAAACACGAATTGTTGTCATTTTGTCACACCCCCCCCCCCCTCCCAAAAAAATCCCTTTTCTTTGTTTTCCGTTGACCACACCCGGTGAGGTCAACACCCCTCGTACCTCATTTGCTACGCCTCTGAAATGCATGTATTAGGAAAAGAACACACATCTTATCAAGAACAATGCAGCAACAAACATGTTCACAGTGCGCTAACCTTAACAGAGACTTCGTTAACACTACACTCTTAAAGCAATGGAGGGCAAATAAGTAGACCAACGTAAAAATGTGACGAAACATAACGAGTTTTAAAAAAAGTAAATTATATAAGTAGTAACCAACAAACGCGTGAAGAGTTCCTAGGTACGGACTAAGTTGACAGAAAGTGACACTTTTTACATCTATTGACAAGTATAATTATCTTTGGGGTAGAGGGAAATCTCTTTTATTATCTTTACCAAAAACACCTGGTACAGTGGATTGTGGAGAACATCGAACAGTTAGTTTAATGAGTTATATAAGTAAAGTAAAAATGAGAATTATAGTGAGAAGAATAAGGTTCAACATTAAACCAGAAATTACCTGTGTGGGTTCCGAGGCCCTATTATGGGGGGGGGGGTGAATAGACCCACTGCCTACCAAAAGCATGAGTCGACTAATTGGGAGCTTCCTTTGAAGTCAGAGTGCATCTGCCTGAGAGGCAAGTAACCAGCAGTCTGCATACAAATGAGTCAGATCTGTAAACCGGATGCACACGCAACACTCAGGTTCTAGAATAGGACTGCAGTCCAGAAGTGGATGAACAACCATAACTTTCCACTGGAGTTTACAGCTGGTGAACACAAAGAAGAAAGAAGAAACGAGAAACTGGAGACAAGTAGTGTGTGTTTATTGAAGGTAAAGGCACAAACAGTGCCATATATATCTCGAGAACACTTTCGGGAAAAATGCTTGAAAGAAAGAGATCTGTGTTTTTGCTTTATTGAATACACTAAAGCATATGATGAAACATTAAATTATTTGAATTTTTGAAATCTTACGCACTGATGGTAAAGATCTGAGAATAATAATTATAACAAAAAAAAAAAAAAAACATATAGACCTGCTGGCAACTAGAAGCAGCCATAAGGTTTGACAAACGAGTTGGAACTTGTCCAAACATTAAACAAGGTGTTAGATAGCGATGTGTACTGTCACTTGATTTATTCAATTTGAACAGTGAAATGATAATTAGATCCATACATGGAATGCCAGGAATAGCGGTTGGTGGGCATATTCTTTACAACATACGATATGGAGACAGTGTAGTTTTGATAGCTGAAAATGAAATACAGCTGCAAGAAATGATGGATATAATTGTAACGAAAGTGAAAACAAGGGTCTTAGTTTGAACAGCAGAAAAACAGAAGTTAGGGTAATTACAAAGAAAAGCGATCCTCCCAAATTCAACATCAAAGTAAATGGGACACGCACCAAGCAAGCTGATATGTTTAAGTACTGAGGTACCCTAATACTATCAGATGAATTAAAATATAAATTATAAATACTGCATTTCAGTTGTACAAAATATCAACATTATTCTTAGTTCTACTGACGTTACTCAGTGCCATATTCGCGGGAACGTGTGACCCCATCTGAGAAAGGGCGACCAGCAAACAGTCAGTGTTTGTACTACTACTAATAACAGATAGCAAGTTCGTGTCGTCATACACCCTTATAACACAAATATGTTACGTGTTCGTGCTAACATAGTTTCAGTTTCAGATTGTAGACAGCGTAATCAAAGCCATTCTTCATTACCTGGACATGCACATTTGTAGGCGTATTACCGTATAGCAAGTATAGGGCGTATACTATAAGCTAAAAGCAGATAAAAGACTTCATAAATTCATAGTTGTTACTGTCAACATATAAAAAGTTGACAAATAAGCACGAGTTTCTTTGTATTTGTGTGGCGAGATAAGTTTTACTTGAACAATCTCGAGAAGTAAATAAAATAGAAACCGCAAGTAACCGACAGCCAGTTGTTAGATTATTCACAGCGGCGGCCGTAACGCTTCGCGGAATTCTCCCCGTCGTATAAGCATCGACTCTGGTTCGGTTGCTAGTCATTTTCTGAAAACAAACTGCTCAGCAGAGACTGTTGTGGCCATGGATCTGGACAATGTTCTCCTTGTTACCGATTCCTACAAGGTTTGGATGTTCAGTACTTCTAATTATAATTATGTATTATTATAATGTTCGTGTTTTCTGACAACGCGCCATAGTTTGTCCAGTTTTAGTTTCGTTTGTATTCACAATTATTAAATATTATTTTCACATTAATATAATATTATTATTAATATATTGTGAATTGTGAGAGAAGGAAGCATGTTAGTATGCAATAATTAAATGTTAGTCACTGACCAGATGACTTTAATTTCATTTTTAATTTCGGAAATTATCATAAGAAGAAAGGTTTGGTCGTCGGGTAGAAGTAGAAGCGCGACAAGGTGAAGACTCCAGTACAGTCGTGCCCTGAGAGGTTACCGGACTATTTCATACCAGAATTATCGTGTTTAAATCATTTATTAACGACACCATTGTCTGAAAATGTGATTGTCTAATCCCCCAGTCTGAACGTTTTCTCATAGTCATCATTGTATAACATTAATACTGTCTGCTTAACGATCATTGTCAAATATTTAAAAAGTACTTAACTAAAATAAAAATGTATTGAACTCAACCTCTATACTCCTAAAATATGTGCAGTATTAAGTAACTAAATAATTAAAAATAATTGATAGGCATAAAATCTATTAGAATAGAGCAAACTTTTTACCCCAGTTATAACAGATGGGTTTTAAAAGATGTTTTTATTTAAATGACTACTGACTAATCCACATAAAATACTACGTGTTAAATAGTAATCTATGAAGTGTGAAATAATAATCCACCAATCTGCTTAGTATGAAATAATCCACCAATCTACTCAGTATGAATTGATTTAATTTGATTTGATTCAAGAACCGACATCACAGCACTCGGGGCATTCCCATAAGTGCTCCGTCCCCATCTTCAGCAACCAGCAAAGAGTTCCGATACTAATGGTGCCAGTAGCTTTCTGATTAAACGTCCGTCTTGCCTTTCCTCTGAGCCTCAGGCTTCTGCCAGAACTTCTCGTCACCCCCAACTGCATCAATCTCACTAGACTGTGGTGATCCATCTGCTCCTCCGAATTGTACACGCTCTCAAACAAGGCACTAACCATGTCTGCCCTATCATGTAGCAGTATTTCACCAAGTTGTGCAGAGCCAGCCAGTCTGTCCACCTGTTCTTTTCCCAACACACCGGCGTCACCCGGTGGTAATATCCAGACAATACTCCTCACTCGTGTCCTCCGCAGCGAAGCATGCCACTCTGCACAAAGCATACCTGTTCTAATCTTCCTGAGCATGCTTTCTGAATTGGTTACAATTACAATGTGTGTGTTGTGTTCTCTAGCCAGCGGAAAGCTGCAGTGACCGCCTCCACGTCCATTCTTAAGCTGGATTACTCAGTATGAAAAAATCCACAAATCTACTCAGTATGAAATAATCCACCAATCTACTCAGTATGAAATAATCCACTGATCTACTGAAAATTAATTAAATAATAATGCACCACCAGTCTGCTCAGTGCAAAATAATGCACTAATCTACTCAGCCTATAACAATCCATTAATCCACTTTGTCTGAAATAGCAAAAGTATAATAATACAACATGAACACCCATTATCTGGCATAAGATATACTTTATATCCTCATTATAACACAGAACATCCATTATCTGGCATAAGATATACTTAAAATTCTCATTATAACACAGAACATCCGTTATCTGGCATAAGATATACTTTATATCCTCATTATAACACAGAACACCCATTATCTAACATAAGATATACTTTAAATCCTCATTATAACACAGAACATCCGTTATCTGACATAAGATAAACTTTATATCCTCATAACACAGAACATCCGTTATCTGACATAAGATATACTTTATAATTTATTTAATTTACTAGCACTCTTAAAGTTAAAGGTGAGAGGATCGACTTCATTGCACCGGGTTTTATCCCATATGGCTCAGTCTCTCTCTGCAGAACAGCAAGCTGCCTGCTGAGAGTGCCGCACAGAGCACGTACCAGCACTCTCAATATTGGTGTATATACAGTTGTTGTTGGCAACTTTCTGACTTTCTGGACGACAGTGTTATATTGTGTTAGGTGGAGGTATGGGACACAGTCCATGGTGATGGCGAGTGTGACTAGCAAAACCCACCCACGTTAAGAAAAGTCTTTAACAATTTTGGCATGGACTTTCAGGACTGTTGTTGCCATCATTTTGTATTTAGTGTTTCTCTTCTCAGACACTCTGCTGTCATCCTTTCTGCAATCAGTTGTTCCTTCATTCTCATTCTGTTATTGATTTTCCTCCTCCACCCAATACTGTCTGTGCCATTTTGTTCCCACAAATCTACCTCAGTACCTGTATTATTCATGTGGCACTAGCACACATCTTTATATCATAGTAGAGGCTGGCCTCAGCATCTTCTAACCATCTGTAATTCACCAAAGAGGATGTCCTCTTAATTCTCCAGGTGCCACCTGACCCTTTAGAGCCTGAGCATTGACAAAACTGTTGTAAGACCTGCTCTTTCCAATACCTCTGAGTTTGTGATCTTGTCCTGCCACTTAATGCTGAATATTCTTCTTAAGGATCACATTTGAAAGCTGTTTAGCCATCTCTCCTGTTGCAAATAAGCTGACCAAGTTTCACTGCCATAAAGAAAAGTGCTAAGGACACAAGTTATATGTACAATTATAATACAGTCTATAATAACTTGTTTTTTTGCTTTTTTTGTGTGTGATTTAGCAATAGTACTAGAGGAAGTATACAAAGCAGACAAAGTAATAGACTCACCCACATTAAATGAACTACTATTTGCTGACACAGTGCTTGTTCTACAGTGAGGAAGATAGACTATAAGACCACATTAATAGGTTAAGCTCAGCATGCAGTACATACAACATAAAGATTAAAGCAAACAAAACCAAAACAAAGGAAGTCTGTAGAACGCCTGGTCCCATGGAAGATGGCAGAACTGACAGAGAAAAAGAAACCAGATGTCAGAAAGCAAGTGCCAACTGTCACCATTATTGAGACATCCAAACATCACTATGAGTGCAAAACAACAGATTACAAGCAGCATATTCATACCAACATTTAGTTGCCAGTGCCAAATATAACATTATCTGTATACACAAAATCACCACTTTCGAGATGAGATGCTGGAGAAAATCTGCCAGCCCAACTATTTGTGAACAAGTTAATAATGATACCATCAGACACATTTTGGAAACAGCACCTTGTACTAGTTTCATTAAGAAACAGCAGACCAAGTGGTTTGACCATCTCATTAGAATGCAGCAGTATCACACGCACTACATGTCAGAAGGTCAGCTACAAGAGCATCAAGGTGGCCATGAAAAAAGTGGATCGACAGCATTCAAGACACTACACCTTCAAGGCCTGACAATAGGCAGTCCCAGCCAGCGTGCACTGGATTGCTAAATACTCCTCCCCACAACGCTTGATGGCAGAAGTGAACTATGATGATGTTGACTAGAGGTAGAATAAGGGGTGACAATGGTATTAGTAGTATATGTATCAATAATATATTGTTGAAAGCTTCAGGATTATAAGTTGGCCATAAAGATTCTATAAAATTATTTATGTGTTAGCTATGAGTTAAAGTGGGAACCTCCATAGTTAAGTTGCTAGATGCTCGCCTACGGGACTAAAAGTATGGGTTCAGATCCGAACAAAGTCTAACTTGTTTTTAAAAAATTACCTTGCCTCGAATCAGCCTTAAATGGGTACCAGGTAAAGTGGTGGGAAGTAAAGGTGGCTGATGTTGACAACATCACCCAGCAAGTGCCAATCGTTCTATAAAATTTAGGCCTAGCACTATATACCCATAGAAACATCGGATTGGCTCGAGGTGCATTCTCTCACCACACCTATTCAATATAAATGCAGAAAACTTAATGAGAAGTGTCAAAAATGAGCAAATTTGTGACAGTTATGAAACGCTCATTGTTGGTGGCAACCGTATTCCAGAACTTCAATATGCAGATGACACAGTCCTCCTTTTGAACAATGTAGAGGGAATAGAAAATCAAATCCTGTCTGTCCAAAAACACAGTAAAGATCAAAACTTATTCTTGAGTTTCAAAAAAAACGAAAATAGTGTCCACAGACAAAACTGGCTGTCAACCCAAAAATAACAATAACTGATGATGAAATTGAAAATGTCACAAACTTTGAATATCTAGGCCCTGTTAAAAAATAGCAATGGAGACTGTTTGACAGAAATCAAAAGAAGGATGGCCATAGCAATGCAAAGGTTAAACAGCATTAAAATGCTATAGTTTAGCACCAGCAAGGAAATCAAAATCAAAACTTTAAGAGCCTGCATCTTCCCTTTAGCAACATACAGATGTGAATCATGGACTATCTCCCAGTCCTTGAGAAAGAAAATAGGGGCTTTTGAGCTGAAATGCTATACAAGATTCTCAGACTACTATGAACAAAGAAGAGATGAAATACTGACATTATAAAATAAAGATCTAGCAGTATATGCCCAACAGCCTGAAGATGTGGGAGAGGTTCCTTTGCTTTATTTGTGAGCAAAAACGATACTGAGCCATAAACAACAAGTTTGGTTAATGATTATAGAAATCTCATCATCTTATCTTGATTCTCTTGTACTTTACTGTTGTGCTATGGAGGTGCATGAGGGTGGTGGTTTGTACACTTCCTAAATGGGAATTCCCAAAGACTGTTGTTCATTGTACATCATTATTTGTTAGGGTATAGTGTTTGTTGGTAACTGAATTAAATATCCAGGCCATTTTACTTAAGTTTTCTAATGAAATTTCAGTGATGCTCCACCCGCCCCCTTCGCCCACTTTCTTCATATTTCATTATTTCTGATCTTTTCTCATTTTGATATGCTACTTATTGCAAGATTCTCAAATCAGATATTTTTTCTTTTCTGTCTTTTCATTTTTGGCCATTGTTCAAGTTTACCATTGGTCAGTTGGCATTGATTAAGTTAAAGGTTAAAGTTGAGAAAATCAACATCATTGCACCAGGTTTTATCGA